GTGTGTGTGTGTGTGTGTGTGTGTGTGTGTGTGTGTGTGCGCGCGCGCGCGCATGAAGCAGCTGCTGGCACGTCACTGTGACCGTCACTGTGACGACTGACGCTGTTGTTGTTTGACCACGCTGTCGCACCGCCTGTCCCCGTGCTGCCGATCCCCAACCCACCCGGCGCCGGAGCGCCCCAGCACCGCACCCGGGCCTCCCAGACGCTCGGGCGCGCGTGGCGGCCTGCTCGCGGCAGGCAGCGGCGGGCCGCTGCGGAGGGGGCGCACCCGACACCTTGAGCCTCACAGGTGCCCATTCCACCAGCTTTCCGTCTCGCTCCATGACAAAGGCGAGCTCAAGGGGGTAGCAGGCGTCTGGGAACCAGCCCGCCATGAGTCGGCGCGACAGCTGGAGCGAGTTGAGAACGCTGATGCGCTGCGCGTCGGCGGCGGCAGCGGCGGCAGCGGCGGCAGGGGAAGGGAAGAGGGGAAGGGTTCCAAGGTGGGTGGGCCGCATGCGCGTTTGGATGTGCGGGGGCTGCATTGAGCGGGTCCGTGCACACCTCCACCTCCCCGCGTGCATCGTCGCGTTTTGCCAGCCCAAACTCTCTGCACTGAGCTCGCAGCTCACCACAGGCCACTCCAGCGGCAATCCCCCTTTCAGTCCAAGCTGTGGCAGCAGGTCGGCTTGTGGGCCATCCTGCGAGCGGCGCCTTCGCTGCCGCGACAGCGGAGGCGGGTTCGAGTCGCGCTCGGCTGCGAGCAGCACCGCAGCAGAAGGGTCCAGCAGGACGCGTCGTCGTTTGTGGAGATTTCTGATTATCTTGTCCAGCTCATCCATTGCGACGAGCGCTCTCTCGCAACAACGCGTCTAGCTAGTGAGCGAATGGCAAAATCGGTGGCAAAATACTGGTTATCAGGTTGTAGTCAACACAGCACAACGAATCGAACTTCACTTGCATACTTCACTTGCATACACGTCAACAACTACGGTGTGGCTGGCACTGGAACACCAGATCTGGTGAGAATGTTTCCAGCAGCGGTTTCTACCGTACAGTCCTGTAAACAAGCGCTCATTATCAAAGCAACGTGCAAGTTCCTGATACACTCGACTGCTAGGGCACGCATGTCACATGCGCGATGCAGCAGTCGGACCAGTTGACCATAAGGGGACCCTCCAGAGCAGCTGGAGAACAGCAGCTTTCCGACAGCTGTCTGATGTCAATGCTGCGCCATATCGCCCTCACAGTGTCAATGTTGCTGCCTGCAGCTCTGTTGCCAATCACCTCGCTCACCAGTTTCCCTTCGCTTACCAATTCCCCCTTGAATGCCACTTGTCTCTATGCAAAGCTGTGTGACGTCTAACCAAACGCGACAACTCCACCTCATTGAGCTGATCACTGGCGAAGGAAACCGCTGCAGTGCAAATGTGCTTGGTTGATGTAATACCAGCGCCCAGGTACAAGCTGCCGCTGCCCCACAAAACAGTCAGTGGAAATGTAACAAAGGCAGCGAGCCGATAAACACGCGACCAAGGCGGCCACACGGCGCGGCATCGCCACCGCCGCGCAAGGCCTGCGCTCACCACGCCCCAATGGCCCACTTGGTGGGCGCCGCAAACGCCTTGTAATCCCAGCTCGTCTCCAAAGCAAACGGCTCCCCAACTGCCGCAGGGGCGTCAGCCGCCACCTTTGCTATCTGGAACTTGTTGATGGACTGCTTGTCCCGGTAGTAGCACACCCGCAGCGCATCCCTGAGAAGCGCCTCCGCGTCCGCCTCCGACATGGCGTCGGACTGGCGCTCGCGGAAGAGGGGGCGCGCCAGGTGGGCACCGAAGCCGGTGGCCACGTGGCTGCCGAGGGGGGGGGGACGGCGGGGGCGGACGGGATTTGAGGAGTGCTGTAGGCGAAGGTGTCGCGTGGGTCAGATGGTGCTGTGTGACAATGTGCGGCTGAGGTGATGCTGGTGCTGAGTGGTTGCTGGAACACGCTGCCGCCCACCCCAACAGTGCCGCATGCTGCAAAGCAAGCGCCGGCAGATTTAGTAACGCCACAGGCAGCCACTGGGGTGGCCCTCTCCCACAAGCACATGTATGCGTAGTGGCACGGCTGCGCGCGCGCCCTTCTTCCCCGCACCTGTCCTCGTAGTGCGTCCCGATCATGCCTACGGTCCCCAGGAACGGCGTGCCGTCCGCCTCCACGCCGCCCACCACCAGCGAGTTCCACAACGGGTCCATCTTGCCGCGGCGGTTGTACATCACGCGCGTGAGGTACGAGAAGATCTGGAGAGGGGGTTTAAGGGGGGGGGGCGGTCGTGAGGAAGGAGCGGATGGGGCGAGGGGTCCAGGAGCGGCGTATTGGGGTACGATTCGGATTGGGCCAGAATGCATGAAGCCACTCTTCACAGTGTACAGAGCTCAGCAGTGGGGCCCAGCCACTGCGGTAGTGTCCATGCTAGCGGACATTGCTCCTAACCAGATCGCGGATTGCAAGGCCAGCTGGGGTTTGAGGGGCGCAGAGAAAGCGCTCTGCGTGATATGCAGGCTGGCGCTTGGACGGCATCACCCCTGCTTTCCCAGCTTGCTCACTCCAGAGCAGCCCAACGGAGGCTGCAATCCTGGCTCAGGCCCGATGCAGGGAGCCCAGCGCACCGCCTGACCCCATGCCCACTGCCGCTTTCGCATGCAGATAAGCAGACTGGGGAAGGCTCATGCCGGTGCCCAAAAAGCATTCCATGCATAGCCATCGCAACCCACTGTGCGCCCTGTCGACTCGAGCTCCAGGCACGCAGCACACACCACTGCACAGCAACAAAGCCTCTCCCTCAATGACGGGCATCCAAGCATGCACGCACGCACGTGCGCACATGCACAATCACATCCATGCGCGAGCACTCCTGGGCATGCACGCGCACGAGCGCACACACACACACACACACACACACACACACACACACACACACACGCACACATACGTACACACACAAGACAGAGACAAGCAGGCACCCACCTCCTTGGGCCCAAGCTCAATGCCGTCGTCCGTGCGGTAGTCATCTGTGGTGAGCTCGTCTAGCAGCCGCACGATGTACTGGAAGTCGCTCACCTCCCCGCCCGCCCCCACCAGCGTGCGCGCGTTGACCCGCACGATGCGCTCGAGCGACTTGTAGCGCTTCGTCGACCCATAGGCGCCGAGCGTGTCGGCAGCGAGCATAACGCCGCCAGCGTACTTGACCGCGAGGATGCTTGTGCCGGTGACATAGGGGTACTGCGTGTGCTGGCGGGGCCCGTCTGCGCTCTCCACAAGGCTGGGATCCACAGAGAACGCCTGGGCGCCCGATAGAGGGAGCTGCGCGCTCGGCTTGGGCGGGCGATCGAGCACAGCTGAGGTTGCCACTGCGAGCTCGGGGCCTGCCACTCCAGGCCCCAAGGCCTTAGAGTGTGTGGTGGGCCGCGGTAACATGATTTATGTTCTGAGCTGCGAGGCTGATCAAGCGCCGAGGGATCTCGTGAAGCTAAAAGCAAATGATCTGAGCTCTACTGGGCAGCTGGATATTACTTACATATGTTGTACAATTGGCTCACGTGTTTTCGCAACAGTGCGCTGCGATCGGATGAGCTACCATACACACAGCAAAGTGGTACTGGACACACCTGAGTGCTCGTACTGTATCACTGGGCTTCAGGGGCCTTACGGCACGCGACAGAGCACATGTCATGTCAATAAGTTCTGTGTCTCCAAAATACAAGGTCCAACCTCTCGCCCTCCTTATTGCAGTACCGTAGTTCTTTTACCGGTGCATCTCGGCCAGCGCAACCCGGCGCCCCTGCAACTGATTCAGAAAGCCTCTTAGATTAGCTCAGGTCCCTGCTTCGCTGCCCTGGGCGCAGTCCCATTGACGGCCAGGCCGAACGCGACGTGCTGCTCACGCAGCGCGCCCTACGCATGCGGCCGACAGGCCCCAGCTTGAGGCGGAACCCGTGTGCATGGCACAGCGACTGCGCAATTAGCGGCGTGCGTGCGCGCCGGCCACCACCGCTACGGGCGAGGCGACCTCAGCAGCGGGCCGCCCCTGCCGCAGGTCCCCCGAAGCTCCCGGCCTGCCACCCCCCGCCAGCTCAGCCCGAGGGCGCCGACAAGCAGCCCCAGCCGCCAGTAAGCCCTGCGGCGGAGCAAGGGCCGCAGCCCCCGTCGGCCCCGCGGAAACCGGCGGAGTCCGACGCGGAGGATTATGCTCCAGACGCAGCGGCGGCAGCGGGGCCCGCACCCCCGGAGGAGCTGCCGCTGCTGGGGCGCGTGCTGTCGGCGGCCGTGTTCCTGCTGCCGTTGACGGAGTGCGCCTACAGGGTGGTGCTGCTCGCGCTGCAGCACGCGCGGGACAACGCGTGGGAGCTGACCTGGTGCGCTCGCACGCCGAGCGGGTGCGGGCTGACATCACCGAATATGACATCATCGTGTGTTCTGTGTGATACTTTGACAGAGGGGCCTGGCCTGACGCGCAGAGGGGCTTCTGCCTGGTGGGCGGGAAGGCGCTGAGCCCCAGTGAGGCCCCGGTCGGCTTGAGCGCGCCAGGTGCGGTCGCCGCCGGGACGCGGGGACGACGCCTCTTTGGTGGTGCGCTCCCACTCCTACCCCCCGGGTCAGCGCCTGCCGTGGCCCTTAATTCGCCTGCAGGTGGGCGAGCGTGCAGCGCAACACGCTCGCCAACACGCTGGCGGAGGGCGGCGCCAGAGCTGCGCGCAGCCAAGGCGATCTGGTGGGTCCGTCCGGCCCGTTCCGCCGGACGCCTCTCGCACCACATGCGTGTGGCGCATGTCTCGCGCACTTCGCTGCAGCCCCATGCAGCGCACCCCAGCGACGCCCGCGCGCCCCCGCCAAGATCTTCCCTTCGCCGCCCGCCGCCCCGCGCAGCAAGCGGCACAGGCAGTGGCGACGCTCAGCCAGCGGCTGCTGGAGCGGCTGGAGGAGCCTCTGCAAGACTTGCTGCTGCTGGGAAGCCGCCCGCTGCTCGACCCCTCGAGCCTGCCACTGCCCCTTGTGCTGCGCGACGCAGCTTCTGGGCTGCTCACGCCGGTTGCGGTGTGCACGCTGCTGCTGCTGGCGGTCGCGGTCGCGGCAGCGGGCAGCGCGATGCGGCAGCAGCTGGTTTCCGAGGGATCTGGGCAGCCGCAGCAGCTGGTTGGGCACTGGAGTGAGCAGCAGCAGCAGCAGCAACAGCAGCAACAGCAGCAGCAGCAGCAGCAGCAGCAGCAGCAAAACAAGCAGCAGGCGGCCATGCGTGTCAGAGCGATCGTGGGCGCGGCGGCCAGCGCAGCGCTCTTGCTGCGGGTCGCGCTGGCGCCGCTCGCGTCATTGCTGCAGGCCCACGCACGCGCCCAGGCGCCCGGCAGCGCCGCGGCCGCCGCCGCCCTCGCTGCCGCCGCGTACGCCCGCGTCTCTGCGTTGCTCACCTGGGGCGTCGCCGCTATCTCCCTGGGCGCGGTCGCGCGCATGCTCATTACGGCCTCCCCGCGCGCGGCGGCCGCGGAGGCGGCCGGCGCGGCGGTGATCGCCGCCACGCTGCACCGGGCGCTGCTGCTCGCGGATTCGGTTCTGCTCGTGGTGTTCGAGGCGCCGGCGGCGCAGAAGCTGCGCGCGGCCGCGTGCTTCGCTGCGTACGGGCTCGCCACAGAGGTGGGCACGCCGCAGGGTGCAGCGGCGGCGGCTGCGGTGCGGTGGGGGGACCCTCTGCCCATGACGCACGCTGAGTGGACGATGGGCCGCTGATGTGGGCCGGCGGCAATCTAGCTTGATTCCTTCTGTTGAGGCGGGCGGATGGGAGAGCCGTGAGACCGTGTGGGCACACCCCGGTGCCCGCCCGCCTTCCCACTGGCTCCTTGGCGGGCGGCGCCCGCCTCATCGGTGTGATCCGTCTCTCCGCCCTTTCCCATCAGCGAGGCCGCTGTCGCTCCTCTCCCCCAACCCTGCTTTTCAACCCCCCTGCAGGCCCTTACAGTGCTGACAGAGGATCAGCAGGCGTTGGTCAAGCCCGTTTGACCGATGGGTTGACCGCGGGTCGTCTCCACGGTTTGCCAGTGCTCGCCCTCAGCGACCCGCGGCTCCCTGCTCTGCCCGGCTTGTCCTGTTGTGGGGCACAGCCACGTTTATGCTCAGGTTGTCTGATGACACGACATCACAATGATGCTGCAAGAATCCCTCAAGAACGCCACGCATGGTTGTTTACCCAGTGCGTGTTACTGGCAATGCTGTAGGTGTGACATCTAGACAGTCAGCGTTGGGTGGTGTGGGTGGGTTGGGCGCACACAGCTGAATGTACGAGAGGGATGGTGGGAGGGCCGCTAATGGCTCAGCGAGGTGCGTGCGCTGGCCGGCGTTGTTAAACCGATCCGCACCCCTTGTCCGGAGGGCTGCGGCGCTTCAGTAATCCATCACCTGGTGCGGTGTGACTGCTACGAATGGCACCGGCAGTGAGCAGGGATCAAATCCAAGGCGCAAGGCGTGACGTGGCCTCCGCCGAAACGATAGCCCACGGGATTGTGAGGGCAGCGGTGCCGTGGTGCGAAACCTGTCGGCGTCGTCCCTTCCGCAACCCTGGCACTACTGCAGTGATCATCCTACTCACGCGATCACAAAGCAGGGTGCTTGCAGTGAGGCCCCACCGCGGGGCGGGCAGTGAAGGGGGGTAGGGGTAGGGGTATGGGGTAGGGATCAGGCCCCAGCGCGTGCGTGCGGCCGCACGACGCTGCGTTATCTTGAGCGGCACGGCAGGTCGGCATGCGATCGTGACTGTTTGACCAGTCAGGGCGGGTGCTCAGTGCCGCAAGTGCGCCGTCACCCCCGGAAGCCATAAGCCCAAGGCAGTGGTGTTGAAGGAATGTCTAGAAGCGGGCGAGCCGCCAGGATGCGCGCCCGGGACGCCCGCGGCGCCGCGGCCGGCGCCCGTGCGGGCGCGCTGCTTGGGTGCCCGCGCAGCGGCACGTGCAGCCCCTCACAACACGGAGTGGTCTGCCGAGCAAAGGGCCGCGAGCTTGCGGCCGCACGCGGCTGCGAGCAGTGCTGAGTCGTGTCGCTGCGAGGTGCAGCAGGCGGCGCACCCAGGAATCCCTTTTGACCCGAAGCGAGCGAGCCGGCTTGCCTGGGCATGCGCACGACGGCCGGCTCAACGCGCGGCTAGCGTGGGTCGGCCGCCGCCTTCGCGGACGGCTCGATTTGCCGGGCGCCGATGGTGCCGGCTGCAGCGCTTGGCGGCAAGCTCTGCCAGAGCGCAAGCGGCAAAGTGTCGTTCAAACGGGTCGTCCGTGGATTGCGCCAGGCAGGGCAGCACACCGCATCTGGGGTGCGCGGACGTGTGCGAGCGCGGCCGAGGGACCCGCCAGCGAGCACGTGCAGTCCCGGGCCACGCTCGATGCGGCCCCGTCCCCGCGGGCCGCCTCGTCGAGCAAGCCAGACAGGCCGGGCCGCCCTATCTTGCCGCCGCCGCCGCCGCTGCGGCCGCCCGCCGCCCCCACTGCTGTCGCGTCAGGTCGATGCCAAGAGCGCGGCCGCCGCCTCCGCGGCGGCGGCCTGCATGGCGGCCTGCTCGGCGGCGGAGGCGGTGTCTGACGCGGCCAGGATGTGGTCCAGGATGGCGTCGCCGCCGGTGGGCGCGTAGGGGAAGGCGCGGACGCACAGGCGCGCCATCTGCTGCGGCGTGACCGCGCTGATCCATGCCAGGGCCTGCAGGGGAGGTGGCGGTGTGAGGCGGGGTGTGCACACGTGTTGTGTGTTGTGGGTGGGCGTGTCCATCTGAACGTGTGTGTGTCGGGACGAAGCTCTTGTTTGCTGTAATGCGTTGAAATGCTGAAGTGTATGGGATTGTGTTTGGGAGCAGAATCCAAAGCGTCGTCCTCTGCCACGCCCACATTCACACACCCTGGGTGGATGCGCACGCGCGCGCGCACAACACACAAATACACACTCTCTCTCTCTCTCTCTCTCTCTCTCTCTCTGTCTCTCTCTCTCTCTCTCTCTGTCTGTCTCTCTGTCTCTCTGTCTCTCTCTCTCTCTCTGTGTCTCCCTCTCGCACGCACATGCCTGCACTCACGCACACAGACGCACACACAATCGCACACATGCAGGCATGCAGGCACGCACACGCGCACAGCCACGCCACACCCCGCCCACCTGCACCACCGCCACGACGTCCCACCGCCTCATCACCGCGCTCAGCCCGTCCAGCGCGAGCAGCATCGCGCCGTAGTTGTTTGCAGCAGCGGCGGCGTCCAGCTGCACCGCCAGCTGGCGCCACACGCGCGCCAGGCCGGCCTGCTGGCCCCGCACCACTCGGCGCACCTCTCCAAGGTAGAGAAGCTGCGGGGGCACGAGTCAAGTGTGTGTGCGTGCGGCGCGCGCGTCAGTCGTCCGCGACGGATTCTGAGGTTGGCGGCGCCGGCCGCCGGCCGCTGGCCTGATCAGGCAGGCGGGATCCGGGTGATGCATACCACGAATCCTTGTAGGCGGCTGCGGGCGCAGGCATCTCTAGCTCCAGGCGGCGCGCGTCGCCGATCCGACGGCCACGTGCCTGGACCGGCGGGCGAGCGCGTGCGTGCATGAACACGCACCTGCTGAGCCGTCGGACGCAGCGCGCGCACGCACTTGACCCAGTGCGCGGCTGGCGGCGCCGAGTCCTTGTCGCGCGTCAGCAGGTGGCACGTAGACAGGGCGATGATGGGGCGCGGGTTCCACACCCTGTGGCGGCAGCGAGAGGGGCGGTGGTTGAGCAGACGCTCACGCGCCAGGCCGCCCGGCCGGCCGGCCCCAAGCGGCTGCAGCGCGCCAGGCCCCGCACCCCAGACAGTCCGCCGGCCTGGGCGGCGCCCGCGGGCGACGCACGGCCTGTGCGCGCATGCGCGCTGTCGTGGGCGGGGGCGCGCACCACGCGGCGTAGATCCATCCGAGGTTGGCCTTCAGGATGCCCAGCAGCTGCGTGCCCAGGGAATCCGTCTCGAAGTCACGGTCCAGCAGCGTCTGCAGCAGCAGCACCTCCTGCGGTGAATTTCGGTTAGTTGGGTGGTTCATGTGTTGGTTGGGCGGTTTCTACCTGGGCGGGCGGCCGTTCTCGAGGTGGGCGATTAAGGCAGGGGCAGGTGGGGCGCGGCGGCGGGGTCGGAGTGCAAGGAGAGCTCGCTGCGTCAGCAGGCGCGCGCCGTGTGGCCCGCAGGCGTGCGCCGGCGCACACAGGCGCACACGCCCCGGAGGCCCGCCCGCGCGCGCCGCGGGCGCGCCGCCCACCATGACGAAGGCGGTGTACGACTCCAGCGCGCCGTCCGGCGTCAGCGCCAGCGCCGCGGCGATGTTTGAGGCCTCTAGCACCAGGTCCAGCGGCTCGAAGCCGCCCTCCGGCCGTGAGAGGTGCGCGCTCGGGGCGGCGGCGGCCAGCGCGCCGTCGGCCGCGTCGAGCAGGGCGCGGACGGTGGCCGACAGGTGCACCACCCGAGGCAGGCGGAGCAGCGCGAGGGGCGCTAGCTGCTCCTGCTGCTGCTGCTGCTGCTGCTGCTGCTGCTGCTGCTGCTGCTGCTGCTGCTGCTGGGTAGCCGGTGGGGACCGCGGCTGCGGCAGCAACGCGGCTGCTGGCGGCTGTGACGCGTCTGCCAACAGGACCTCAGGCTCCGCAACCTGGTTGCTGGCGCGGCTGCTCTGCTTCTGCCGCTGCTTGGGCGGCAGCCTGCCCGGCTGGGCCTCAGCCTCTCCCTCGGGGTCCCGCGGTTCGCTGCCGCCACCCCCCGGCTGCTCGCAGCCGGCCCCGCTGCATCCGTCCACGTCCATCGGCGCCGCGTCGCCGCCGCCGTCGCCTGGGCCGCCTCCCTCCCCGCTCGCGGCCGCCGCGCCGGCGACCTCGACGGCGGCAGGCGCCTGCATTATGGGGCCTGCCGCGGCCGCCTCGGCCTGGGCCTCGGCTTCGCCGTCCTGGCCAGTGTTCCTGCCGCGCTTGCACCCCTTGCCGCTCGGACCACTGTCCACGCCACCGGACGCGGGTGGATCGTCCCCATGCACGCACGCCGGTTGCTGCGACGCGACGCTCGGCGGCCCTGCGCCGCCGGCGTGTGGGCCGTTTGGCTGCATTTCGTTGCCGCGCCTGCTGCCCTGCTGCTCCTGCCGCTGCTGCTCCTGTTGCTGCTGTGGGCACGCATGGCCCCCCTTCTTCGGGGCATCCTGCTGCTCCTGCTGCCCCTCGGCCCGCTCTTCCATGTGCTGCTGCTCTGCCCCTTGCCGCTCCTGCGACTGCTGCTGCTGCTGCTGCTGCTGCTCCTGTTGCTGCTGCTCCTCTGTTTCCTGCTTCTGGTTTGTTTGCTCCGCGTCATCCTCCCGCTGCTGCTGCGGCGGCTGCGGCGGCTGTGGCTGCGGCTGCTGCTGCTGCGGCGGCGGCGGGCCGCCCTGCTGGACGCCCGCGTCGCCCCCATTCTGCGCCGCC